CGAGACTTGAATTTATTGTCGGTTTTGATCACAAAAGACCGACTCGACTAAGTCTTCAATTCTTGATCTTGTCCTTGAGTCTTTTAGGTCTTGTTCCAAGCCATTCTTCACGCCTTGAGTTATTCAACGAAACTCTTTATATCCACATGGCCTTAGTATCAATCACGTTCCTCTTCGTTGTGATAATACTAGCGCCATAAGCTTGACGAAGAACCCCGTTCTTCACTCAAGGACGAAACACATTGACATTAGGCATCATTTCATTAGAGATCATGTTCTCAAAGGTGATGTCGAAATTGAGTTTGTTGAAACACACAACCAATTAGCCGACATTTTCACAAAACCTTTAGAGAAAGAGTCGTTCTTCCGCATTCGAAGTGAACTCGGAATCCTTGACTCCACGATGATCTAAGTTGTGCATCTAAATTTATTAAACATTTACTAACTTGAGCGTTGGAGAACCTTTTCTTTTTTGCAGGTATCCCGCTCATGAAATCAGGGGGAACCATGCAAACAGCGCTGTCCAGGAGACACAACAGCGCTGTTGAGGGAAACACCGTCAACCAGAAAGTTTTCCAACAGCGCTGTCCATCAAGCCAACAGCGCTGTCCCAGGGAGTCCCTTACATCTTCACTTTCCAGAAACTTTTTCAACATCGATGTTCTCTTTTAAACATCATTGTCTTCCCAAAACGTTTTGTTTTCAACCAAAACCAGAACCTTTTTAAACAGCGATGTCTTACCTAGAACATCGATGTCCACTTTTACAAAATTTTTTTCCTCTATCGCAAAACAGCGATGTAGAAAAACCCAACAGCGCTGTTCAAATGGGTTCAAACCCTTACACAATTCCAGAAACTTTTGGAACATCGCTGTAGGGTACTCAACATCGCTGTCCTTTTGACTCTTGTTTTTTTTAAAACTTGACGCAGAACAGCGCTGTACAAGGAACAACAGCGCTGTCCCAACAGCGATGTCTCCTGTAGAACATCGCTGTTCTGGTCAAAATTTTCAAAAAAAAATATCCGTTGCACCTTCATTTATTGCTCCAACAGTCATATTTTTTGAAATTTTGGACGTTGGAGGCCTCCTTTTCTATAAATTGGAGCCTCCACCCCTCATTTTTACACACACAAACACAAATTCTCTCCATTCTTCTTGCATATCTCACTCTACTTACAATTTTTTTTCTTCCACTTCATCATGGGCAAGGACAAGAGCAGGGCCGCCACCTCCGGGAAATCAAAGTCCAAATCCCAGGTGCCTACGTCATCATCCGAGGAGCGTCTCTACTACAGTGACGGGTCATACCTTTGGTTTGATTCCGAGGAGGAGCGCACCCGTTTCCTCACCTTCTTCTCTAAACGGGTTGTGGCTCCCCAACGGATCATCCCGGAGCGCTACCCGGAGCTGCAGGGCTACGACGACCTTGACGCACAGCTTCATCAAGCCGGCCTTTGGCCGTTCGTCTCCCGGGCGCGCAAGGAGATCAACCCGGCACTGATCCGGGCCTTCTACTCCAACCTCCGGCGTGAGGACGGCGTGCTCTACTCGCTTGTCAAGAGCACGCCGATTGAGCTCACCGTGGAGCAGCTTGGGCGCATCGCCGGCCTCCCCTTCCAAGGCGACAATGTGTCTCACTATGGCGGAGAGGACTGGGTGCTCAACAACGAGGGCCTTATCCTCAACGAGCTTGGCATCACCGAGCTCATCCGCCATGCCTCGGGCCGCCCCACCATCCACTCCGCTAACCCCGATGGCCGTCTTCTTCTCTACATCGTCTCCCGGATCATCAAACCCAGGAAGCACGGCCACACCATCATGTCCGGTGAAGATCTCAAGCTCATCCATGCGATCATGNGTGAGCAAAACTAAGGCGAAGGAACATGGCATGATGACTTGAGAACCAAGAACCCAGAATCAAGAACGAAGAACTAAAATCGTATTGAGTCGGTCTTAATGTGATCAAGACCGGCACAAAATTCCAAATCTTGGCTCTCTAGGCTCAATTCATAAAAATCTCTTTTACATGTTCAAAAATATTTTTCTTAAGTTTAAACTTGGGTCAAAACACTTGGAGTTCGCCCAAGCGAAAAACCAAGCCATCCGGCGTTCGGCTTTCAGAAACCGGCACTCGGCTTTCGGTTTTTGGCATTGGTTTTTGGCGTTTGAACCAACCAAGTAGTTTTCAACTTTTTATGACTGGTTTTTACCTCTGGGCATATTTAATTAGCTCTCCAACAAAAACGCCTCAAAAACCACTCTCCGTTTTTTGTCGTTTAGTAAATGCGAAACGGCACGAACTTGGTTAGCCGTGGTTTTCAACTAAATGACGTGGTTTTCAAGATGTTTTACTTGTTCTCTTAGCAAAATGCAATAAACAAATGTTTTCTAAACTTGGTTTTTATTTTGGAGAACTTGCATTTTTGGCATCGGCTAGCGGCGTGACTAAACCAACCATGGGTCTGGCTAAACCAACCCAACAGCGATGTTGAGGTAATCAACAGCGCTGTCTGGACTGGGTAGCTAAAAACATGGTTTGGCGTTAAGTCTTCCAACAGAGATGTTGGTCACTAGACATCGCTGTTGAGCCAAGGTTGGATTTCCAGAAACTTCTGGAACAGCGATGTAGGCTTCCCTACAGCGCTGTCCAACCTAAGCCAAAAATATAGTGCATTGGCAGAAAGTTTTTGGACAGCGATGTTGACCCAGCAACAGTGCTGTCAGGCCAAACTTCCATCTCCAAAGGCAGACCTAAACAGCGATGTTCTAGGATAGAACATCGATGTAGAGACCTGACCGTTGGAAGGAATTTAAGGCTAAAACTTTCCTTGTTTGGAAGTCAACAGCCAAAACAGCGATGTAGGGGTTTTGGACATTGTTGTTGGCATGACCGTTGCTTCCCAATTTTTAAAAATCTAGCCTAGAACAGCGATGTCCAAGCCTAGGACAGCGCTGTCTGGGTGAATTTCAGCAGATCCAATTTTAATCAAATCCCACAAATTATGCCAATCACCCCGTAAATACTTTGGTCCATTGGAGCCTATTTTTCTACTATAAAATGGGGTGTTTGGGTCTGTTTTACATATCACATTACTTCACAACTCCTACTTTTTCATTGCAAATCATTCTTCAATTTTTCATAGCTTTTAAGAGCCATTTTTGTGAATCCTGTGTTGTGTTCATGAGCGTTCTTAGTTTACTCATTATCCACTCTAAAAGAGAGTATTGTTCTTGAGTGTTTTTAGTGTTCTTAGACACTTGACAAGAGAAGGTATCTCTCTTGTTGTTCAAAGGAAGGGTTGTTTCCTTCGAAGGTTCGTTGAGGTTCGTGTGACTCGAATTCTCAAGTTGTACGGGTTTGTTAAGCACCGTTAAGCTTAACGAGATAGTAGTGTAGCTCGAGAGAGTCTCTCGGGAGGCTGGACTAGCCACAAGTTGTGGTGAACCAGGGTAAAATTGGTGTGCCTCGTTCATTTCTCTTTACTTCTCGCTTATTCATTTTTATTCCTGCGATTTCTTGATCAAACGCTATTCACCCCCCCTCTAGCGTTGGTCTATTATTCTAACATTTTCTTCCATTAAAATACCCAAAAGAACTCCCTCATCATCCCCCATATTTTCCCAGCCATTCCTCACCAAAACTGCCTATAATCGATTGTCACCCTTGGCTAAATCGATTATCATCTCACGTGAAAGATCTGCACCCATCAATAATCGATTTACACCATCTTGTAAATCGACTATTACCCCTTTCTACAAAATCTGCCAAAATCTCTCAAGAAACTGAACCCTCCAATAATCGATTATCCCTTCTGGACAATCAACTATAACCCCTCCTGCAAATTAAAGAGACTTCGCTCCTCAACTTCAAGCTTATTATCAAAACACCCGGAGCGTAGATATAACATTTGGTATTAGAGCTTCTTGTTCCTACATCCCAAAGGACCAAGAACACACTTCCACTCTTTCTCCTTTCCTTCATCCTAGCTACTGCCCTACCTTCATTCTTTCACTTCCTAGTTCAAAACATGTCTCACACCTCCCAACACATCTCCAAGGAAGATTTAGTTGCATCCAATGTTGAACTCAAAGCTCAAGTCGAGTATGTGGCCAAACACGTGGCTCAACTTACCATGTTGAAAATGAGCATGGTCCAAACTTGATATACCCCCGACTACCAACAACGATCCTCAAGTCCTTAAACGAATCTATGGAATAATGTCCAAATGTTTTAATCCTTTTTGGAATGAATACATCACCCATAAACCATACAACCCGACCCTGGTCCTGTTGGACCTTCCCCCACCTTGATGGCCAAAAATACCACCCAAAACCACCCCCCCAAATATCCAAATCAAACCCAAGTCCTTCCTCCTTTTTTCCTCTACCCTGGCCGAACCCACACACCCCCACAACACCCCATCACATTTCAAACCACATGCTAAAACCACAAACCCTTTTCTTTTCCCTTGAATGGCCGAAAACTAGGAGCCAAAACCCAACCCATTATTTCCCCAACATGTACTAGCAGTGGTCCCCCTTATGTTCCCAACCAAGCTGAATAAACAACCATAACAAGCCAAGGACAATTCAGAATATATTGGTTCATTATTCATCAAGAAAACCCAACTCATGTGAAGCCAAAAGGCCTGCCATATTCCCACTTCCTTGCTCCCCCACCTTGGCCGTGCATAACCCACCAAAACCCACCACAAAAGAATCCACATTTCCAGCCAAATAAGTAAGTCTCATGCTCCACCCCCTTACTCCCCACACTAGGCCGAAACACCCTCCCCCACAACCTTACACTTCCTCCTTGTTTTCATTCCATTAAATAAGTGGACATTATTCCCCAAAATAAGTGAATGTAACTAGGAAGTTTCCCTCTCCCCTTGGTGTGCTTATATATATTTCGGCCATAGGCCTTGTAAAAATCATCTCGTACACTTGTTTGTTTGCTTTTCAAATTCCTAAATCTATATCTTAAGAGTGATTCTCTTGAGTGTGAGTTTTAGGTTCTAGTTATTTGAATGAGTGTGTAATATCTTGTTTGAATACTAGATTCAACCCCAAGTAAGCTAAGGGTGTGTAATATCCCTTAACACCACTTGGTTTATCCCCATTAAAGAAAACAACTAAAGAAATCCTTCCCTTTCTTCCTCCCATTCAGCCTACTCACTGCCCACAATAACAGCCCCTCTACACTCACTCCTTAGCCAAGATTCCAAGCCCAAACACCCTACTTCATTCCTCCCATTCATCCCTCACTCTTTCCACCCTTAAAATATCCCCTTTTTCCATCACATTTCACTCACAAACTAACCCTCAACTTCCTCTTGTTCCTCAGCCAATTCGGCCAGCCCTCTCCCCTCTTCTCACCTTGAGTTGGTGCCTAACATTTGGTATCAGAGCTAAGTGTTGAACATCCCCAAGGGACACTCACCATCCCTCCCAAGAAGTAAGCATTTTGAGCTCAAAACTCCCTTCCTTCTTCCCTAAAACCCCCACGGCCAAACTACACTATCCTCTTCACCCTTTTCCCACATCAACCATGTCAAATGAATCCCAACCCATGTCCCATGAAGAGCTTGTTGCGTCCAATGCAGCCTTGAAGGCCCAAGTTGAATACTTAGCCAAAGAAGTGGCTAAACTTACCAAAATAAAACTGAATGCACTACAAGGAATTGATCATGACGATGATGCTAGCACCAGTGGAATCAACAAAACTAGGGCTCCCATCCATGAAGGTTCTGATTTCAAGGTGGACATTCCGACCTTTGAAGGAAAGAATGACCCGGACGAGTCCCTAGAATGGCTAGAAACAGTGGAACGTGTCTTCGATTTCAAATACGTTTCCGACGAGAAGAAGGTCAAGATAGTGGCCTTGAAGTTCTGCAAGTATGCATCCACTTGGTGGACCAATACTTGCACCAAAAGAAGAAGAGACGGTAAAGAACCAGTGTCTACGTGGTCATTTTGTCATTGTCTACTTTGACGACATTCTGATCTATAGCAAAAGCGAAGAAGAGCATGTGATTCACCTCACTTTGGTGATTAAGAAGTTAGACGACGAGAAGCTATACGAATATCTCGAAAAGAGCCAATTCTTTACTCGAAAGGATGTACCCCACCATGCATCACCAAAGGGTAAGCAAAAGCAGGAGTTAATGCTTAAGTGTTATAATCCTTATTGGGTTGAATTCATTCCTTTTTCCCATCAAAAAGCCCAACCAATAACCCTTGCTGCGCAAACCCCCCCCCCCCTAAGACAAAGCAGAACCCACAAACCCTCTCCCACAACATCCAAAATCATTTTATCTGTCCAAAATAAAGTCTTTGTTATTCATTACTAAGCCTAGGCCGAAGGTGAACAACAAAAGGCAAAATAAAACCTTTGTTTGTTTTTCTTAAACATGATAATCGATTATCCAACATAGATAATCGACTATTGCTTCCCTTTGAATTCTCCTAACATAGTCCAGCAATGCTTCATAATCGATTATCTCCCAATTGATAATCGATTAACACTCATCTCTGAAAATATCTGGTTTGATGAACCAGTCCTTGTTAATCGATTATTCTTGAAGAGTTAATCGACTATTTGACACCTCTGAAAATTCTGGGTTTAGAAAATATATCTTATTAATCGATTATCAGTAGGCGATAATCGATTATCACACAACCCTGAACTCAGAAATCAGTAAAATGGTCATTGATTGAACAGTAAGTGTTTTGTCATTTAGGAACAAACTTGGCCATACACCATGGACGAAATTCCCATGCTATTATTCAACAAAATCAAAGACTTTTACAATACAAAAAAAAAGTTTAATCCTTCATCCATGTGCCTGCCCAAAAAGTCTTTGATTGAATAGTAATATCTTGTCCTATTACTCACTAAAAGTCAAGCCATGTTGTTTCCTTTATTCTCCCACCTTAAGGACGAAAATCATACATTAAGACCACCCAAAATACATGCCAAATCCCTGATCATTAGCCTTGAATTCAACTCATTTGGAATATTAACACATGCCAGCATTTGTTTTGTTTTGTAGGAAAGAAGTGGGAAGTTTCCTTTGTTGTATTTTCTTTATCATGTAATCATGTTTGTTGTATTGTTTCTCCATTCCATGGCCTATATATTTCAGCCCTGGTTCATTGTATTAATCAGCTTGTAAAATATATTGTGATAATATAAGTTTCTTGCTCAGTTCTCTTTCTAACTTCTATATATAAAATCCTAATTTTATATCTTAAGAATGATTCTCTTAAGTGGGAGTTTTAGGTTCTAGATATATTAAATAAGTTGAGTGATTCCTTATTTAAATACTAGAGTTTAACCTGAGTGAAGATAAGTGTGTGTGATTCCTCTTATTATTCACTTGATAAATGCTTCTTTCCCTCTACTTTGTTTCCTCCTGAATTCAGCCTCCCCTATATTTCTACTTCCTTCTATTCTTCTTTCTCTTCTTAAGTATATATCCTAGACAACCTCAGGTCTCGGGTACAACATTTGGTATCAGAGCTTGTTGTTGAACATCTCCTTGAGGACCACAAACACTTCCCTCTCATTCTCTCTTTCTCTCCCAATCTTGATCCTGATAGCATCGATAATCGATTATCAAACTCAGATAATCGACTATCTTACGTTGCTGAATTTTCTTCAAATAACCAACCACACCCCTCTTATTGCTTCAAATGCAGAATTGAAGGCTCAAGTTGAATACTTGGCAAAAGAAGTGGCAAAGCTCACTAAATTCAAGTTGAGTATGGTTCAAACTCCCGAAGAAAGTGAAGATGAAGATGATGCTAGTTCTGTTGCTACCATAAGAGCTAGAAATCCAGAGAAGTCAACCTCTGATTTCAAGGTTGACATGCCCACTTTCGAAGGAAAGAATGATCCTGATGACTTTCTTGAATGGTTAGAGACCGTTGAACGTGTATTTGACTTCAAGAATGTTTCCGAAGAGAAGAAGGTCAAACTCGTGGCTTTAAAGTTCAGAAAGTATGCGTCAACATGGTGGACCAATGTCACCATTAGGCGTAGAAGAGAAAACAAGTCCCCGGTGACCTCGTGGAACAAGATGCGAGCACTCTTGAAGAAGAAGTTTCTGCCCGAGAACCACATACGAGAAAACTTTTCTAAGCTTCAACACTTGAGGTAAGGCTCTCGTTCTGAAGAGGAATACAACCGAGAGTTCGAGGAACTCTTATTAAGGTGTGATCTTCAAGAAGATGATTCACAAACTTTTGTGAGGTATGTATTTGGATTGAATGTCCAAATAGCTAACACAGTGGAACTGCAAGACTACCAAACCCTTGACGATCTTACAATGTTGGCTCTCAAAGTTGAAAGCCAAATCAAGAAAGGCAAGGCTGCCCAAATGAGAACCTCCTCTTCATACCTACCTTTACTCCCCACTCCTTCATCCCCTCCACCTCCCACGTCCTCTCACCATAAACCCATACTTCCAAACCCTCCCTCAAATATCCAAAATCAACCTCGGCAAAATCAAAATATCAACCGAACTCTGAAATGTTATCGTTGCCAAGGCAATGGTCACATAGCTCAAGTAGAAGCATTCAAGTCCAGGCGTCCAGATCGGGATGGGGTAAATCGCACTGTATTTATAGGACAGAGGCCGAGGCGTCCCAAGTAGAAGCGTCCAAGTCCAGGCGTCCAGATCGGGACGCTTGAGCGGCTTCGGCCAACCAGGTTTTGCCACGAGCCTTCCTTTGACCGCAATCCAGCCAAGGCGTCCAACTCCCAAGCGTCCAACTTGGCCAAGCGTCTAAGTTGGACACCTTAGGCCCTGGTTCATTTGGGCGTCGCGACTGGTGTGAGATCTTGGCCCAATTTTGCTCCTTTTTTGCCTGAACGTCGATTTTATCCTCCTGGAGGCTTGTTCAAGCCTAAATCTTGATCCTTTGATGATTTATTCCTTTTCCTCAAGTATTTGAACATAAAATGGATGATTTATGATATCTTTATGTGGAATCCCTTTTAGTGACTCTTTAGCACGAAAATGAGGATTTTATTCATTGAAATCACATTTTATGAAATGATTAAATATTATTTAAGTGCAATAACGTTTAGAATATGATGTAAATGATAAGAATGAAACGGACTTATCAAATTCCTCACACTTAAATGTTGCTTGCCCTCAAGCAACAAATTGAATAATTACAGGTATAGAGGCAAATTAATAATTGCAAAGGGAAGGTTTAAGCTAGGTATTATGAAGGGAAGAAGGAATAAGATAGTCATAAACCTTTTTGTTAAGAAGAAATGAATCTTTAGATTCTCACCCATATTGTTAGAAATGTAAAAGAATTTTATCAAACCAATATTTTTACACCAACCTAAACAACCAAAATTTTCCAAACTTTCCTTAGGATAACTACGTTTATATGAGTATTTTAAAGATAAAAATAATTTTTAATGGCTAAATTGGAAAACATGTTCTTGCAAAAGTATTAGTCAAAGTATAAGGGTTTAATTTTCTTTAGCATAACTTTGTCATGTTGACACAAGAAAAATTTATAACCTCATCCCGTGACAGAGAACCACGAGTTTTTTGGGCATTCACTCTGGAAAGTCTCATCACACGACATAGAACCGCATGCTTTTTGACTTTATCTTTCAAAAGGTCTCATCACGCAATATAGAACCATGTGCTTTTTGGCATACTCACCACGCCTCATCAGTTGACCTAGAACCAACTGCTTTTTGGCTAAAACAAGAATCTCGGTCTCACCAAAGTATGCTTTGAAACATCACCCCTTATACTTTGAAAATAACTCTTTTTAAGAAACAACAAATACTCATTGCCTAAAAGATAGATGAGTATTTGCAAAAAGATTTTCAATAAAGCAACTTAAAATTGATTGATCTTAAAAACTCTTAGTCAATTGTGAATTTATCCCAAATCATTTTAGAAAACATTCCCAAAAGGTTAGAGTAAAAATAGAAATTTGACAAAAAGTTTTAAAAATTTCCAATTTTTACAGGTGATAACTAAAGATTAATTAATCAAACAAATAAAATTGATGGCTATTTATAAAATCATTTCCTAATAATACATATACAAAACAATTCCTAAAAAGATCATTTCAACCAAAAACTCTTGCCTCATGACACTTAAACGGAACCACGCCCTCGTGGTTAAAAGTGTTTTTGAATCGGAGTTAATGGTTAAAATGATCGCATGCAATTACTAAGTTATCTAGATACTTACAAGATTCAATGATGAAGATTGAAATAATTGATAACCATAACATGTAAATATGAAATGATGCATAAAATATCCTTAATATGGTTTTAAGAGTTAACAAAGAAGAATTCCAAAATAAAATCATTTAAATATCCAAATTAATGTTCCGAATGCAATAATAGGAGAATTAGGGATCTCACTGTCCTTGACGTTTGCCTTGCTTGGGGCCAGCCTCATGCCCCGTTTCCTTTACTCCCTGCTCCCGGATGTGGTCGAGTATTTCCTCAACCTGCCACTACTGAGTGAGAAGGAGCGTCTCTATGCTCCTCAAATGAGAGTCCACAGAATCCTGGAATGCGAACATAGCCTGAGAAAGCTCGCGAAGAGACATGGGAATGTTATGCTACCGTCTTGGACGTGCCTCCTTATCTTCCTTATTATAGGCAATTTGGGCCAAAAACCCTGTTGGTGGTTGGAACATGCTCGCAGCTTCTGGAAGGACATCGGGAACTGCCATACGTAGTCCTCAAGCTAGGAGTGTAACCATTGGTCCACACAAGACAAACTGGCGGTCGCAAGTAGACTGAGCAAACAAGAATCGAGCCACAAAGGTTGCTAAATTGACTGGTACGCGCAGATAAGCAGGGTCCAACACAATGGGGGCCTGGAGCATCTTAGTGTTTCCCCAAGTGAGAATTTCTTTTTCGCTTCCTCTGAGTGCAAAGGGAGCTCTTCCATATTCTGCAATGTGCGGCGGTTTCCATGCAGAACCATCCAAGCAACATCCATCTGTAGAATAGAAAAATAAAACGAGTAAAACCTTGCCCCCAACTGGTGCGGCAAGTAAATAACAAATAAGCATATGTAAATAAATTAGTTATCTGAATGACGGGTTGCCTCCCGTTAAGTGCTTCTTTAATGTCCGTAGCTTGACGCTCACCCACTTTTTCCATGACTTTCCAATCCGAGAGTCATAAGTTTTAGCCCTTCTTACTCTCTTCTGATGCCACTCTATTTGATGTTTTTTTTGGTCAAGGTCCAGGATTCTTGACTCATCCCTGTGGCTTGGTGGCAATAGGATGTATGGCGGAGACTATAACACCCTAATCCGTCCAGGTTTACAACCCCTTCCGAACTAAAGTATTAACTTGGTAATCGTATAATTTAAAACATTTCAAATAACTTTATTCATCATAAATGAAATTCCAAACATAATTGTAGTAAATACGGAGTGTTTAATGCGGAAGCGATTTTTAAACATGATTCATAATAACATAATCATTTATTTTCTCAATAAATCCACCACGACTGTCTTGCCCCTTCCGCTGCCGAGAACATGCCATTCACTCATTCTGTCTACCTGCGTGTAGCAAATAAAACATACTACACGCTCAGCGATGAAGCTGAGTAAGCATATCTAAAGCGTCAAACATCCAAATAAATTGAATCTCAATTCATAATCAACCATTTGATATCATGCACACAATATACGATTCAAACATTCGTGATATTCTCAATATTTTATTCCAAGTCATTTGATATTCAATATCTCAACCATGCTCTTAAATTATTCTTAATCTAAGGCCAAATCATTTAATAACAAG